GGGGCCGCCAGGCCGGTTCTAAACCGCCAGGTCGATAGGAAACTCTCGATAATTTTCTATTGAGTCAAATAAAAAATGTCGTTGCACACGAATTTGCAAAACGCTTTGGGAACTGTGCGGCCGGCCTTTAATTAGTGCGTTATTGTTAACTGTATCGCACCTTGGGACTCACATCACGCACCAAACCGTTTGATTGATAGCAGCTGAAATCTGAAATGCGACTCAAGTATTCCCAAAGCTAAATTTGTTGCCCAATTACAGCTGATAAGTTCTACACATGCAAATGGATATTCCGCTCGTTGATAAACTGGGCACTTTAAGTACATGTCGCGAAAGACATTAATAGCATTCTGTGCGATGCTGGAGTTAAAAATGGGGGTGTGGCTTAATTTCTTGCTAACCCAAGACAAGTGCGATAGAGTGAACCGTAAATTGTGGTGAAGTGATGTTTGTGTGTAATATCTGAGCATGACAATTTACTAGCATTAGTATAGCTCATGAAGAAACCTGTAAGTTTGAAATGTTGAGTACTGCAGTAAATGTAGAAACTGGAATTAGTTCTCAGTGTATTTTTATGCCATAATAAAAAATTATCTACGATGAGCTAGCGAATAGCAACGAATATCCTAGCCTCTTCTATTGCACAATTTTATGATGTGACAAAGTTTGTCCACTTTCCAACGTAAAAAATCAACATGATACCAGCTCAATTTAGTGTAAGGTTGTGCGAGATTTAATTGAGGATCCTTGAGGCTCGCTTTGCATGCTTTTTTCTAATATTTAGCCTAGAATTTTCCCTCGGTGACTATCTATTCCCTATCATCAATCAAATAAGGAGCATTCTAAATATCAAATGAAAAACAATTGATGAGTAATAAAAACAAGTATTGATCATCCGCGAATTGTTCCCACATCAAAGCGCGACTTGAACCTTTGACCCACGGCTAACGACCATTAGTCAAACTCCATGACGAATCGACAGGTGGATGCGTATTGAGTGAATGGTAAGGTTTACTTTCTACGAACGGCCGACCGATATCGACCCGTGGCCCACCTAAATTCAATTGAGTCCATCCAGTTGAGTTTCATCCAATTTATTTACTAGCTGCTAAAAATTGTTTTGTTATACTCTCTCTGTTATGGAACAAAACAAAAACAGAATCCTACGTGAGTCTGCGTAGCTAGTCCACAAGCTTGACCATAAAAGCCCCCAGGGCACTTTGTTGCGCATTTCGAAAGAGATGAATGACAAAAATAACCATGAAGGCGCTCAAATCAAAGGTTTTGGATCACAATCAGTTACATTCAGCATTTCAGCAGTCGCGTAGGTAAATTGTTACGAGACTGGCCGATCTTTTCTGCTTCATTTTATGAACAACAGTTAATTGTTTGAACCAAGAGTAACATATGATCATGCAATCAGATCTTCCGGGTGAGATTAGTCTTACTATTGACAGTGATAGTGACAAACTATGCGGAAGTCATTTTTAAAGTTTTCTCAAGACCAATTTTACCAAGATGATCGTTAGACATTGCTGTAGTTCGTATTTCGTTCACTTCAGCAGCCAAACGTCCTAAGTTTTCGAATTTATCGTTTTCTGCTCTTATTATTGGATTTGAAGCCACTAACTCTATTACAATAAATATCGTGAAAGGTGTCGGAACAAAGTGCATGTAATTTGCAAAGCCAAACCGATTATCAGCGATATCATTACTTAGGCAGAAATCCCGCTCACCACGTAAGGAAAGCCGGTCCATTGACCATTTCCTTTACGAGCTGAATCGTTTTTCAGTCCTCAACTGTTTTCTTCCCATATCAAACCTGATAATTTAGTAGTGTCATTTTGCTTCCAGATAGGTAGTCGTTCCCATTTTTCAAGACGTAACTATTACAAAAATTATTTCTTTCTCCAAAGATTACTTAAACATTAAAGAGGAATTCCTTTTTCTTTTTGAATTTTGAATTTCTAAAACGAACTAACCAACAAAATACAAAAGCACATTGCTTTTGAGTTACCTTCACTCTTCTTAGTTGCACTTTCAGTCAGTTCACCTTCTGGTTTATCCTGTTGGCTAACCAGTTTCTCTGCCTCTGAAACATTACCAAATTTGTCATGGAATGCGGGCTTTGTTAACGAAGTTTGATTTTAAAACATTGTAACAGAAAGACTAAAATATTTTTACAGGTTTAAGCTATATATAAATGTGCATGTATTTATCTTAAACAAAAGACACATGATAACATAGAATCTATTTGTTTTATGAAATAAACAAGAAATACATTGAACAACAACAAACATATGAAACATATGAGTGAACTGCGGTTATGAGACGTATATAAGAACGATCCTTCGCAGTAAAGCACTATTTGAGCAATAGTGGAAATCAGACCTGAAAAAAAATTTCAGGCCTGTACGGGATTCGAACCACTGACCTCTGCGATACTAGTGCAGCGCTCTACCAATTGAGCTAACAAGCCAACTGGGAGCAGGCCATCAAATTAATTCGATATAAACCCGTAGATGATAAATCGAACAACAACAAACATATGAAACATATGAGTGAACTGCGGTTATGAGACGTATATAAGAACGATCCTTCGCAGTAAAGCACTATTTGAGCAATAGTGGAAATCAGACCTGAAAAAAA